CATTACTTACAAGAACCAAGATATGGAAGCAAGCTAAGTGCCCATCGACACATGGATAAAGAAGATGTGGTACATATATTTATAATGGAATATCACTCATTCATAAAAAAGAATAAAATCTTGCCATCTGGGACAACTGGATGGACCTAGATGGTATTATGCCAAGTGAAATAAGTCAAACAGAAAAAGAAAAATGCTACCACAAAAACCAAAACAAATACCAAAAACAAAAAAAAACAAAAACAGAAATAGACTCATAAATCCAGAAAACTAACTGGTGGTTGTCAAAAGGGAGGGGGAAGGTAGAATGGGTGAAATAGGTGAAAGGGGAAAAAAAAGGTACAAACTTCCAGCATAAAAGAATTAAGTTATGGGGATGAAAATATAGCACAGGGAATACAGTCAGTAATATAATAACTTTGAATGGTGACAGATGTCACTACACTTACTGTAGTGAGCATTTCATAATGTATATAAATGTCAAGTCATTATGTTGTCTACCTGAAACTAATATAATATTGTACGTCAACTCTACTTCAATTAAAATATATATAACAAAAAAAAAAACCCAAAATGTACTCATAGGTAGAGAGAACAGCTAAGTGGTTGCCAGAAGTATGGTTTGGGGGGGTGGGGCGAAATGGTTAAAGGTTGTCAAAAGGTATAAACTTCCTGGGGATCTAACATACAGCATGGTGACTATAGTTAACAATACTGTAGGGTATATTTGAAAGTTGCTAAGAAAATAGATCTTAAAAGTTCTCATCATATGAAAAAAAAATTTCTGTAACTGTACCGTAACAGATGTTAACTGCAGTTATTGTGGTGATTATTTTGCAATCTACACAAATACTGAATCATTACATTGTATGCCTGAAATTAATATAATGTCATATGCCAATTATACTTCAATAAAAACAATTTCTTTAATTAAAAAAATTTTAAACAATTATTGCAGAAGTCTGAAAAGCTATTAAATCAGAATTCTATCAGCCTCCATAACTCTTCTTTCAATATTTTAAACATTATGCCAAAGATAAGCCTCTCTATTATAAATCTAAATAGAAACTCTAATATGATCACTTTAGAAGAGAAATTCATAACTACATTCAGGATTCCTGAGGCTAATCTAAATTGATCTACTTATGTAAGGACAGGTAAAGCTCTAGGGTTTTTTTATTTTTGTTTTTGTTCTTCCTTAAATTGATTTATTAAGACTATCCAAAATCACCTGATGATAACTTTTTAAAATGTCAACTTGGCTAGGCTAAAGCACTCAGATACTTAACTATACACTAATTTAGATGTTGCTATGACAGTATTTTGCAGGTATAATTAAATCCTCTAATCCATTTAAGTAAAGGAGATTATCCCAGATAATCAGAGTGGGCATAACTGAATCCTTTGGAAGGCCTCTAAAAGCAGGACTGAGGTTGCCCCAGGTGAGAAAAAAAAATTCTGCCTATGAACTTGGCAGAATTTTTGCCCATGCCCATGATATTTCTATCCTACTGGTGATCTTCTCTTCCTGTCAGCTAGCCATCCAGATTTCAGACTTCCTTTGCCAGTCCCTCACAATCATGCAAGACAACTCCTCGTAATAAATTTCCAGACATTATATATATATCTCCTACTACTTCTGCCTCTCTGGTTGCACTCCCAACTTATATACAGCACAGTATAAAATATGAATTTAGAAGTAATACTTCTTACATTTAATTGGGAAAATATTTTATATGTGCAGACATATGGGTGGGCTTACATAATCCTTTTAAAAACTGCAGTAAGTCAGGGCGCCTGGGTGGCTCAGTCGTTAAGCGTCTGCCTTCGGCTCAGGTCATGATCCCAGGGTCCTGGGATCGAGCCCCGCATCGGGCTCCCTGCTCTGCGGGAAGCCTGCTTCTCCCTCTCCCATTCCCCCTGCTTGTGTTCCTGCTCTCGCTATCTCTCTGTGTCAAATAAATAAATAAAATCTTAAAAAAAAAACTGCAGTAAGTCAGTGCTACAACACTGAATCATCTTCTAACAGGAGCTACTATTGTTCTACAAGGGCACTGTAAGGGACTATTCATTTTTATCTAGATCACAAAGAACAGGTCTGGGAATTCTTTATGAATTCTTTAATCTAAACCTTTTAACATTGGAGATCCGTATGTAAGAAGCACTAGGAAATGTGCAAAGGTTACTAAGAATTTTCTCTAGTTCAATGATCGTAACAGTCTACCTTTTTTTCTTTTTTTTTGCATTTAGATGGCTGCTGAACACCCTTGGAGACTAATTCTATATCCCGAGTTATGGTGTGGTGCTACCGTCACACTAGTAAGGGGACACTACTTAAAGGGCATTCCAGCATTAGAACAACCACATCCAAGACTGGCTAGAAACAAAGACGAAGACAATCATAATCAACAATATCAGAATCGCACCAGAGAGAACACGTACTTTTTCCACAAAACAAAGTACCCAAGAGGTACAGTTCAACTTGACACATACCGGCTGTTCTTTAATTCTGATCAAGCAAAATTCCCAGCAAGCCTCAGCAGTAGCAGGAGCGGCAGGAGCAATTCAGTCTAGTACAGAACTGTAGCCTTATATAACACTCACTTTCCCAGGAAGGCCCAAACAAACCCCCCTGACGGTGCAGGGACAGAAACCTGGCGTGGAAGGTACAAACTGTGGGAGACTGGCTTTCTGAGAAACAGCATGGGCAAGAGGGGACACACACAGAGACACACAGAGACCAAAACCCCAATGGATTAGGACCATAAGACAAATCAAAAGAAAGGTGAAGAAATTCAAATGATAAATTATGGGGAGACAGACACCCACACATAGAAAATAGTGGAATGGCAACACAAGAAGCAAATGGTTAGTAAGAAACACAGCAGCCACACACATGCACCTCAGTACTAAATATGGGAACAAAAGGCATAATATAATCCTAACTGTCTCTATTATTCATATCTTAAACTATATAGCTGGGCAACAAATTATAAAGCCACTAGCAAAAACTGAGTTTTAAAAACTTTCTTTTTTTTGATAGCCAAGAAACTTTGTGTCAAATCCTAAAACAAAATTATAGTGGTACCTGGCTAGAGGCTAAAACTGTGTGGTGCTTTTTAACCTTTTAAGTTATATTCTGTGGAAGAGTAGATAATTTACAACTTTCTCCAAATGTGAGAAATATAGTGGTTAATAAAAGCAATTTGTTGTGCTTTGGGTATCAAATATAAATTTAATCCTATTTCTTACTATCTTCCAAGTCACACCCAACTCCAAAAATCAGTATTAGGTCCAAAAATGAATCAAAAAGTTTTTCAAGCAAGCAGCCTGGAATAACAAGCAATAATTTCAATGTAGATTTCTAATACAAGAAAACAAACTGAAATATGAAACTTGATCAGGAATTTTTCTTCTGAAATATCAAAATATTTAGTGGGAAGTCACTAATCCATCAAAAGTATTATATTTTAAAACCTATGCAGCACAGGTCATACACAAAAGGCCAACACAAAAGCAGACAGGCATGTGTTCATGTGACTATATAAGTGTGTGTGTGTGTGTGTGTGTGTGTGTGCTGGGGGACAAACTTAATGCAAACATGAAGAAGGGCATATAAAAATACAATAATCTCATCTGGAGACCGGGAATTTTTAATTCTAATCTAAAGAATTCTATCCATTCGTCTTATCCAGAACCAGAAAATATGAATAGAGTTAATATCAAAGTAAGAAGAATCTCATGAGTATGCAATCAGTAGAGTGAAGAAAAATTGTGAGGGTTAGACTTTATTGTTTTAGTTTCTTGAAAATTAAAATTCTATGGGTGGGGGAATATCAAGTCTCCAGTCACCCAAAAATTTTAAACTTAGTAAACAACTTATGAAAGTCGTTTCATATTTCCCAATCTTCAAGAACATGAAAATAAAATATTCCTAAGAATCAGCTCCAAGGAGCCACATAGGTTAATGACTTCATTCTGTCACTGTTGTTTCTATTTAGAAGAATATGGGTAATGAATGAAGTTCTACTAGAAGAACTACTTCAATGTACTTGTAAATTTATGTTAAATACATGCTGTAAAAGAAGAGGTCGAAAGACATACACTTAATCTTTAGTATAAAACAGTCTACATGGGCGCCTGGGTGGCTCAGTTGGTTAAGCAACTGCCTTCGGCTCAGGTCATGATCCTGGAGTCCCTGGATCGAGTCCCGCATCGGGCTCCCTGCTCGGCAGGGAGTCTGCTTCTCCCTCTGACCCTCCCCCCTCTCATGTGCTCTCTCTCATTCTCTCTCTCTCAAATAAATAAATAAAATCTTTAAAAAAAAAAAAAAAAAAACAGTCTACAAAAAAAAAAAAAGACAAGACAGAAAACTCCAAGAGAGCTGTCGGGCTAGACCTGTAAACACAGCTCATTTTGAAGAATTCAAAGTCAAAGATCCATAAAAATCATATCCAAGTCTCTTAAATTATCCTCAAAATGTTGCTTCTTCTAAATTTGACCTATGCGCTGATGTAACAGCCTGCTTCTCCACAATACAAATTGTGTAAAGTCTAAAAATTCATAGCCGGAAGGAGCATTGGGCTCAATAAAAAAGGTCTAAGCCAAAAAAATATTACCTCCTTGAACTTGAGGTTCATTTGCTCTGTAGATAATAAAGTAATTAAAAAGCAAGTAGCTATTTGTACCCTCATGATCAGCTAGTAGAAAAGTTCAATTTCTCCATTGATGAATACTTTCTCACTTTCCAATCAATGATGCTGGTGTCTACAGCTTCCTAATATACCCCCTTTGATGTTGCCTTTCAGATGTTGCAACAATGAATTTACAATGACTTAGAATAAAAAGTAGATTAAAAAAAATAATACAAACACTCAAGAACCTAAATTCCGAGAGGCAGATATACTGAACAAGTATGCCCCCCAAAGTATACAGTTTTAAAACCATACTTTAAACCTTTCTAACAAAGTAAGTCCACCATTCAGCTTTCCTATCCTTACCTTTCCAACTCTGCGATCTTCTTATCTTTGTCATTCTTCTCATTTTCCACTTCCTTCAAGATTTCCAAGAGGCGGTCAACTTCTGCCTGGGCCTTGCTAGATTCATCTTTGAACCTGGCAATCTCTCTCTCCAACTGCTGTATTCGGTCACTCATCTCTGGACTGGCTCTGGCTTCCAATGTTGCCTCATGTGCCTACAAAGAAAAGTGTTCAAATTCTATCAGACACATATAGTGGCAGTGGGCAAACCATGTCCCAAAGGACCATCTATATTTCAACTTAAATAGAGCATTATCAAATATCTAATAGCAGGTCTTCAATTTATGAAGCTTTTCTCTGCTTAAATAGTACATAGACAAAATAGTAGTAATAAATTGAGAAATAATTGTCATGGATTTCAAATGGATTTGTATTTAGATGTACTACAGTACATATCTGAATATTAGGTCAAAAATCATATGACAAGACATGTTTTTCTGAGTGTGAGATATACAAAAAAGCCATTAGACTACTATTGATCTCTCCAAGATAATCTCTCCAATTTCTCTCAAAAAGGCATCACTAGAGATTCACTGCTGATGTTACTATAACCAATGCCAATGCTGAGATCTAATTCCCACTTGACCCTTACTTCCCTTCCCTTTTCCTATATACTGCTTTACCAACATGTATGAATCACATGGCCTGGAGCATACACAATCTATACTACAAATGTGATGCCATAAAACTGAAGTTAGGTTACAGGGCACCTGGGGGGCTCAGTCAGTTAAGTGTCTGATCCTTGGTTTCGGCTCAGGTCATGATCCCAGGGTCATGAGATCGAGCCCCACATTTGGCTCTGTGCTCAGCATGGAGTCTGCTTAAGATTCTCTCCCTCTCCCTCTGCCCCTCCCCCCACACTCTCTCAATCTTTCTCTAATAAATACATCTTTTAAAAAAAAATGAAGTTAGGTTAAGAAAATGGCTATCCACACACAGATATCCTCCTAAGACAGGATTCAGGATTTTACAAGATAACATGGAACAAACTAAGTCAGAAATCAATAGTCCCATGTAGAACCAAGAAGAATTTTCAGAATCCTGTTGCAAATATAACTAGTACCTTCAATGCATTTTGGAATGCAAAGCAATTTCAATAATTAAAAACTAATTATCAAGTCTTTAATTTTTCTCCCGAATCTCTAAAGCCATGCATGTATAATGTATTTAAAGAGAAGGTAGAGGTGAAGATGTTTTATTTTCCCTTATTTAATAGACAATGAAACATAATTAGTTCTTTAAAATGGTTTGAAAAAATATTAAAAGGGTAAATATATATTATTAGGAAATACTTCGGAAAGCTCTGATGCAAATACCTTGAATAAAAGAGAAATGTTCCTATAAATTGGGCTAAATGCTTTGTCAAAGCAAAAGCTGTACTTCTAAGATCAAGACCTTTACCAACATCTTCTGTTTCAGGTTTAATCAGTTAGGAAAATCCAGTTACTAACAGTGGCCTTTAAAAAAGATTCCACTGGCAGACATGTATTTTAATGTGTTAGCAAAATTCTAATCTAAACTGGTGTGGTTAAAAGCCACAACAAAGTAAAATCAAGAAGAAAGAGAGGCAGCCCTGAATGAATTAACTAATTAAGAATAAAACAAGGCAAAAGCAGCAGAAATGCAAACACTTCCCAAGCCTGGAGGGAAATTTTGATCTTACAGAAACTTTTCTACTTTGTATTCATCCCAATATACTTTAGAAAGGAGTCATTTTTTAAGTCTAGAGTTCCTACTTGAGGAAGGGAGAGAGAAAGTCAAGTGCATTCATTTTCTACAGAGTAGTAAAAAACCACTCATAAAAAAATACAGAAAAAACATCAACCAGGGCTTTATGGCACTACTCTGTCACAACACTTATTGGCCGGAATGGGTGGCTTAATACTATTTCAGGATCCTAAAGGGAGAAAAGTCAGTAAGAAAAGAAGAAAAAAAGGTAGAAGGAAATGGTATAAGAAAAGAACAAGCAAGGGGCGCCTGGGTGGCTCAGTCGTTAAGCGTCTGCCTTCGGCTCAGGTCATGATCTCAGGGTCCTGGGATCGAGCCCCGCATCGGGCTCCCTGCTCAGCAGGAGGCCTGCTTCTCCCTCTCCACCCCCCCGCTTGTGTTCCCTCTCTCGCTGTATCTCTGTCAAATAAATAAAAATCTTTAAAAAAAAAAAAAAAGAAAAGAACAAGCAAGAGAAAGAGAGTAAAAGATCAAAAATATAATTTTTAAAAACTTGTGATAAAAAAAATTCTCCAGAAAGAGATATTTCTTCCCAGAGGGAAAAAAAAAGAATTTAGCACTTTTTACAGTTCTCGTAATTCAGAAGTTGAATTTCAATGCTTTCCTTAATAATTCTGAGGTCATTATCTCATGCAGAAGACATAAAATATGGAAATTCACCTACAGGGCATAAATTCCTAAGCTAGAAGTGTTTCTGTTCCATTTCCACTCTGTTCTATTTTTGTGTTAGTACTGTACTGTCTTGATCACTACAGCTTTTTAATATAACTTGAAGTCCAGAATTGTGATGCCTCCAGCTTTGCTTTTCTTTTTCAAGATTGCTTTGGCTATTCAGGGTCTTCAGTAGTTCCATACAAATTTTAGGACTGTTTGTTCTAACTCTGTGGAAAAACTCTAGTGGTATTTTTTTTTAATATTTTATTTCTTTATTTGAGAGAGAGAGAGAGCACGCACAAGGGGTCGGGGGGCAGAGGGAGAGGGAGAAGCAGGCTCCCTGCTGAGCAGAGGGCCCGATGTAGGGCTCAATACCAGGACCTGAGCTGAAGGTAGATGCTTAACTGACTGAGCCACCCAGGCAACCCTGCTGGTGGTATTTTGATAGGCATTGCATTAAATGTGTAGATTGCTTTGGGTAATACAGACATTCTAACAATATTTGTTCTTCCAATCCATAAGCATGGAATGTCTTTCCATTTCTTTGTGTCATCTACAATTTCTTTCATCAGTGTTTTATAATTCTCAGAGTACAAGTCTTTCACCTCTTTGGTTAGGTTCATTCCTAGGGATCTTACTTGTTTTTGGTACAACTGTAAATGGGATTGATTCCTTAATTTCTCTTTTTGTTGTTCATTATTGGTATATAGAAATACAACAGATTTCTCAACGTTATTTTATATCCTTGTGACTTTACTGAATTCATTGATCAGTTCTAGCAGTTTTTTCGTGGAGTCTTTCAGGTTTTCTATGTTTATAAACTATCAAGTGATCTGCAAATAGTGAAAATTTGACTTCTTCCTTACCAATTTGGATGCCTTTTATTTCTTTTTGTTGTCTGATTGCTGTGGCTAGGACTTCCCGTACTATGTTAAATAACTATAGTGAGAGTAGACATCCCTGTCTTGTTCCTGACCTTAGAGGCACTGAGGATGACATTAGCTGTGGGTTTTTTGTATTTGCCTTTATTTTGTTGAGGTATGTTCCCTTTAGACCTACTTTGTTGAGGGTTTGTATCATGAATGGATGTTATACTTTGTCAAATGCTTTTTCTCCATCTACTGAAATGATCATATGGTTCTTTTCTTTTATTATTGTGGTGTATCACATTGATTGATTTGTGTTTTTTTTTTTTTTTGATTGATTTGTGAATATTGAACCACACCTGCAAACCAGGAATAAATGCTACTTGACTGTGGTGAATGACTTTTTTTAATGTATTGTTGTGTTTGGTTTGCTAGTATTTTATTAAGGATTTCTGCATCCAGGTTCATCAGGGATACTGGCCTACAGTTCTCTGTTTTAGTGGAGTCTTTATCTGGTTTTGGTAATCAGGGTAATGCTGGCCTCACAGAATGAATTTGGAAGTTTTCCTTCCTTCTCTGTTTTTTGGAATAGTTTGAGAAGAAAAAAAAGAGAAATAAGTATAGTGGGGATGTACAGAAAAGAGAACTCTTATACACTGTTGGTGGGAATGCAATTCGATACAGTCACTATGGAAACAGTATGAAGCTTCCTCAAAAAGTTAAAAACAGAACTACCATATGATCCAGGAATTCTGCTTCAGGGTATATATCCAAAGGAAACAAAATCACTATCTCGAAAAGATTATCCATACCCGCAAATTCATTGCAGCATTATTTATAGTAGTCAAGACAGGAATCAACCTAAGTGTCCACTGATGGATGAATGGATAAAGCAGTCATGGTACATATACAGAATGGAATACTATTTACCCATTAAAAAAAAGAAGGAATTCCTTCCATTTGTAACAACATGGATGGAGCTTGAGGGCATTATGCAAAATGAAGTATGTCACAGAGAAAGAGAAATATTACATGATCTTGCTTATATGTGGAATCTAAACAACTGAACTCAGACAAACAGAGAACAGATGGCTGGTTACCAGGGGAAGGGAGAGGAGTGTGTGAAATGGGTGAAAGTGGTCAAAGAGTACAAACTTCCAATTATAAGATGGTAAAGTTCGCAGGATGTACTACACAGCATGGTGACTATGGTTAACAATACTGTTTTATTAGAAAATTGTTGAGAGAGTAAATTTTAAAAGTTCCCACAAACAAAAAATAAATTGTATCTATATAAAAAAGTAAACAAAAATAAACCTACAAATAAGCTATAAAACAAAACAAAACAAAATGCTAATGTAGAAAACAAAGACAACAAAATCCTAGGCCTAGTAAGCTCCTAAAGAATTAAAATTGTAGGGACGCCTGGGTGGCTCAGTCAGTTAAGCGTATGCCTTCGGCTCAGGTCATTGATCCCGGGGTCCTGGGATCGTGCCCCACATCGGGCTCCCTGCTCAGTGGGAAATCTGCTTCTCCCTCTGCCTGCCGCTCCCCCTGCTTGTGCTCACTCTCTCTCTCTCTGACAAATAAATAAAATCTTTAAAAAGAATTAAAATTATAGCAAATAAAAAAACTGAAAAATCATCTGACGATATTTGGCTCTATTTTTTTTTTTTAGATAGAATTGACATATAACATTACATTAGTTACAGGTGTACACCATAATGATTTGACATATGTATAGTATACTGTGAAATGATCACCACAATATATCTAATTAACATCTATTACTACAAAGTTACAAATAATTCCCCTCTTGTGATGAGAACTTTTAAGATCTACTCTTAGCAAATTTCAAATATACATAAAGTATTATTAACTATAATCACCATGCTGTACACTATATC